CAAGAATATCAAGAGAGAATACATGAAATAGAGAGACGACCAGCCAAAACAGTTGTGCAAGAGGTAATTTGAATAAAATCATGTGTACATACGTTACACTACTCTCATTCTAGGTTGTACGCGAGGATACCACTAGAATCGACCACTTAGAGCGAAGTATTCAAGAATATCGAGAGAGAATACATGAAATAGAGAGACGACCAGTCAAAACAGTTGTCCAAGAAGTAAATTCGATAAACTCATGTCTACGTTCGTTACAAAACTCCGATTATAGGTTGTACGCGAGGATACCACTAGGATCGAACAGTTAGAGCGCACTATTCAAGAATACAGACAAACTATTAGCGAACTTAAACAACGACCAGTCAAAACAGTTGTGCAAGAAGTAAATTCGATAAAATCATGTGTACATTCGTTAAAAAACTCTCATTATAGGTTGTACGCGAGGATACCACTAGAATCGCTCTGTTGGAGCGTAGTATACAAGAATATCGAGAGAGAATACATGAAATAGAGAGACGACCAGCACAGACCATTGTGCAAGAAGTAATTCGGATAGAATCATGTGTACATTAGTTACACTACTCTCATTATAGGTTGTCCGTGAGGATACCACTAGAATCACCCAGCTGGAGCGAAGTATTCAAGAATATCAAGAGAGAATTTATGAATTAGAGAGACGTCCAGTCAAAACCGTTGTGCAAGAAGTAATTTAAATAAACTCATGTGTATATTCGTTACACTACTGTCATTATAGGTTGTACGCGAGGATACCACTAGAATCGAACAGTTAGAGCGTAGTATTCAAGAATATCGAGAGAGAATACACGAAATAGAGAGACGACCAGTACAAACCATTGTGCAAGAAGTAAATTGGAGAAAATCATGTCTACATTCGTTACAAAACTCTGTTTATAGGTTGTACGCGAGGATACCACAAGAATCGACCAGCTAGAGCGAACTATAAAAGAATACAAACAAACTATTAGTGAACTTAAACAACGACCAGTAAAAACAGTTGTCCAAGAAGTAATTTGCACAGCATCATGTGTACATATTTTAAGTTACTCTCATTATAGGTTGTACGCGAGGACACCACAAGAATCGCCCAGTTAGAGCGTAGTATTCAAGAATATCAAGAGAGAATTTATGAAATAGAGAGACGACCAGTAAAAACAGTTGTCCAAGAAGTAAATTGGATAGAATCATGTGTACATTCGTTACAATACTCTCATTATAGGTTGTCCGTGAGGATACCACTAGAATCGCCCAGTTGGAGCGAAGTATTCAGGAATATCAAGAGAGAATTTATGAATTAGAAAGACGACCAGTCAAAACAGTTGTCCAAGAAGTAAATTCGATAAAATCATGTGTGCATTCGTTTAGTTACCGTCATTATAGGTTGTACGCGAGGACACCACTAGAATCGCCCTGTTGGAGCGTAGTATACAAGAATATCGAGAAAGAATACATGAAATAGAGAGCCGGCCATTACAAACCATTGTGCAAGAAGTAATCTGGATAGAATCGTGTGTACATTCGTTACACTACTCTCATTATAGGTTGTACGCGAGGATACCACCAGAATCGACCAGTTAGAGCGAACTATTCAACAATACAGACAAACTATTAGCGAACTTAAACAACGACCAGTAAAAACAGTTGTGCAAGAAGTAATTTCCACAGCATCATGTGTACATTCGTTACAATACTCTCATTATAGATTGTCCGTGAGGATACCACCAGAATCGACCAGTTAGAGCGAACTATTCAAGAATACAGACAAACTATTAGCGAACTTAAACAACGACCAGTAAAAACAGTTGTGCAAGAGGTGATTTCCATGAAAACAACTGTACATTCGTTACATTACTCTCGTTATAGGTTGTGCGCGAGGACACCACTAGAATCGACCAGTTAGAGCGTAGTATTCAAGAATATCGAGAGAGAATACATGAAATAGAGAGACGACCAGTACAAACCATTGTGCAAGAAGTAATTTGGATAGAATCGTTGTACATTCGTTACGCTAGTCTCATTATAGGTTGTGCGTGAGGATACTACTAGAATCGAGCAGTTAGAGCGAACTATTCAAGAATACAGACAAACTATTAGCGAACTTAAACAACGACCAGTAAAAACAGTTGTCCAAGAAGTAATTTGCACAGGATTATGCGTACAGTCATTAGTTATCTAGTCAAGTTACTATCATTATAGGTTGTGCGCGAGGATACCACTAGAATCGCCCAGTTAGAGCGAACTATTCAAGAATATCAAGAGAGAATTTATGAATTAGAGAGACGACCAGTCAGAACAGTTGTGCAAGAAGTAAATTGGATAAAATCATGTGTACATTGGTTAAAAAACTCTGATTATAGGTTGTCCGTGAGGATACCACTAGAATCGCCCTGTTGGAGCGTAGTATTCAAGAATATCGAGAGCGAATACATGAAATAGAGAGACGGCCAGTACAAACCATTGTGCAAGAAGTAATCTGGATAGCATCGTGTGTACATTCGTTACAATACTCTGATTATAGGTTGTGCGCGAAGATACCACCAGAATCGAGCAGTTAGAGCGAACTATTCAAGAATACAGACAAACTATTAGCGAACTTAAACAACGACCGGTAAAAACGGTTGTGCAAGAGGTAATTTCCATGAAAACAACTGTACATTCGTTACGTTAGTCTCATTATAGGTTGTGCGCGAGGATACCACTAGAATCGACCAGTTAGAGCGTAGTATTCAAGAATATCGAGAAAGAATACATGAAATAGAGAGACGACCAGTACAAACCATTGTGCAAGAAGTAATCTGGATGGAATGGTGTGTACATTCGTTACACTACTCTCATTATAGGTTGTACGCGAGGATACCACCAGAATCGAGCAGTTAGAGCGAACTATTCAAGAATACAGACAAACTATTAGCGAACTTAAACAACGACCAGTAAAAACAGTTGTGCAACAGGTAATTTACATAAAAACCACTGTACATTCGTTACGTCAGTCTCATTATAGGTTGTGCGCGAGGATACCACTAGAATCGACCAGTTAGAGCGAAGTATTCAACAATACAAACAAACTATTAGTGAACTTAAACAACGACCAGTAAAAACAGTTGTCCAAGAAGTAATTTGCACAGCATCATGTGTTCATTCGTTACACCAGTCTCATTATAGGTCGTACGCGAGGATACTACTAGAATCGCCCAGTTGGAGCGTAGTATTCAAGAATATCAAGAGAGAATCTATGAAATAGAGAGACGACCCGTACAAACCATTGTGCAAGAAGTAATTTGCGCATCATCATGCGTACATTGGTTACATTACTCTGATTATAGGTCGTCCGTGAGGATACCACTAGAATCGCCCAGTTGGAGCGAAGTATTCAAGAATATCAAGAGAGAATTTATGAATTAGAGAGACGACCAGTCAAAACAGTTGTGCAAGAAGTAATTTGAAAAAAATGATGTGTACATTGGTTAAAAAACTCTGATTATAGGTCGTGCGGGAAGATACCACTAGAATCGCCCAGTTGGAGCGTAGCATTCAAGAATACAGAGAAACAATTACGGAACTTAAACAGCGACCAGTGAAAACAGTTGTCCAAGAAGTAATTCAGAGAAAATCCTGTGTACCTTGGTTATACTACTATCATTTTAGGTTGTACGCGAGGATACCAGTAGAATCGCGCATTACGAGAATGAAATTCAGAAATATCAAGATAGAATTTATGAATTAGAGAGACGACCAGTCAAAACAGTTGTGCAAGAAGTAATTTGGGTAAAATCATTTGTACATTCGTTAAAGTACTCTAATTATAGGTTGTACGGGAGGATACCACTAGAATCGCCCAGTTGGAACGAAGTATTCAAGAATATCAAGAAAGAATTTATGAAATAGAGAGACGACCAGTAAAAACAGTTGTACAAGAGGTAATTCTGATCAATCCTGTTTACAGTTATTGCATTCCTATTGTATTAGATTGTACGCGAGGATACAAGCAGAATCGCGCAGTTAGAGCAAATTATTAGCGAACTTAAACAACGACCAGTAAAAACAGTTGTACAAGAAGTAATTTACAGAAAAACCAGTGTACATTCGTTACGTTAGTCTCATTATAGGTTGTACGGGAGGATACGACTAGAATCGCCCAGTTGGAACGAAGTATTCAAGAGTATCAAGAAAGAATTTATGAAATAGAGAGACGACCAGTAAAAACAGTTGTCCAAGAGGTAATTCGGATAAAATCCTGTGTACATTCATTACATTACTGTTGTATTAGATTGTACGCGAGGATACAAGCAGAATCGCACAGTTAGAGCAAATTATTAGCGAACTTAAACAACGACCAGTAAAAACAGTTGTGCAAGAGGTAATTGAGGTAAAACTTTGTCTTCATTGATTGCATTACTGTTGTATTAGGTTGTACGCGAGGATACAAGCAGAATCGCCCATTTAGAGCAAATTATTAGCGAGCTTAAACAACGGCCAGTGAAAACAGTCGTGCAAGAAGTAAATCGGATAAAGTGGTGTGTACGTTCTTTACGTTAGTCTCATTATAGGTTGTCCGTGAGGATACGACTAGAATCGACCAGTTAGAGCGAAGTATTCAAGAATATCAAGAAAGAATTCGTGAAATAGAGAGACGACCAGTAAAAACAGTTGTACAAGAGGTAATTCAGATAAAACTTTATCTACATTGATTACATTACTCTTGAATTAGGTTGTACGCGAGGATACAAGCAGAATTGCCCATTTAGAGCAAATTATTAGCGAGCTTAAACAACGGCCAGTGAAAACAGTCGTACAGGAAGTAATTTACAGAAAAACCAGTGTACATTCGTTACGTTAGTCTGATTATAGGTTGTACGGGAGGATACGACTAGAATCGCCCAGTTAGAGCGAAGTATACAAGAATATCAAGAAAGAATTTATGAAATAGAGAGACGACCAGTAAAAACAGTTGTACAAGAGGTAATTCGGATAAAATCCTGTGTACATTCATTACATTACTGTTGTATTAGATTGTACGCGAGGATACAAGCAGAATCGCGCAGTTAGAGCAAATTATTAGCGAACTTAAACAACGACCAGTAAAAACAGTTGTTCAAGAAGTAATTTGCAGAAAAACCACTTTATATTCGTTACATTAGTCTCGTTATAGGTTGTTCGGGAGGATACGACTAGAATCGCCCAGTTAGAGCGAAGTATTCAAGAATATCAAGAAAGAATTCATGAAATAGAGAGACGACCAGTAAAAACCGTTGTGCAAGAAGTAATTTAGATAAAATCATGTGTACATTGGTTAAAAAACTGTGATTATAGGTTGTACGCGAGGATACCAGTAGAATCGCCCAGTTAGAGCTAACTATTCAAGAATACAGACAAACTATTAGCGAACTTAAACAGCGACCAGTAAAAACAGTTGTGCAAGAGGTAATTTACATGAAAACCACTGTACATTCGTTACGTTAGCCTCATTGTAGGTTATACGCGAGGATACCTCTAGAATTGCCCAGTTGGAACGAAGTATACAAGAATACAAACAAACTATTAGCGAACTTAAACAACGACCAGTTAAAACTGTTGTGCAAGAAGTAATGTGGATAAAATCTGGTATGCTTCCTTTACATTAGTCTCTTTGTAGGTTATACGCGAGGATACTAGTAGAATCGCCGAGTTAGAGCTGGCTATTCAAGAATATAGACAAACTATTAGTGAACTTAAACAACGGCCAGTTAAAACTGTTGTACAAGAAGTAAGGTGGATAAAATCTGGTGTGCTTTCTTTACATTAGTCTCGTTGTAGGTTATACGTGAGGATAGTAGTAGAATCGCCGAGTTACAGCTGGCTATTCAAGAATATAGACAAACTATTAGTGAACTTAAACAACGACCAGTAAAAACAGTTGTGCAAGAAGTAATTTTGAGAAAATCATGTGTTCATTGATTAAATTACTCGCGTTATAGGTTGTTCGTGCGGATACCACTAGAATCGACCAGTTAGAGGGGAGTATTCAAGAATATAAACGACAAATAAGTGAATTAATTTCTGCCAGAGTATGCATGAGAGTTATTTGTGAAGAAATACTTAACTGTAGTTGATTGTGTTTTTTGACGATTAGGATTATGGTAGTTCCAGTACTGTTCGAAGTTCACAAGAACATATAAATGTTAATTTCCATATTTCATGTGACGAAAATGAAGTAATCAGTAATATTGCTTGTATTTATATTACTGTAATAGTTAATTACATTTTAGTTAAAAGATGAAAACGACTTGATGGTTGAACAATTACGAGGTCAATTAATAGCGATGAAACAAGTAAGATATCTGTGAAAATGAAGGTATCTTTCAGGGCGATTCATATAATGTTTAGTCGAAAACTATTATGTCAGCAAAAACCCATAGTTCTCGATTTTTATAGACAAAATTCCAACCAATTGGTTATGAGATTTAAGTCTGACTAGCGTAGTGTAGCATGTTAGAATGTGCTGTTGAATAATGCATGACGCCTTCAGGATATTCAACAAGCTTTAGAAAAATATTTTGTCAATCTGCAATGAAAATCTGGTTGTGATCAAGATTACGACTTAAATTTACAATCTCCAGAAAAATATTTCTCGTTACAAAATTTTGAAATAACTGTTATCCTTTCTATTTTCTTCGAATAATCTATGAACTCTAGCAAACAGAAGTTCTTTACACTTGATTCTCTCGCTATACAGTTTTTAAGACTATAATGGGGTCTTTTGTTACGATACGAAGTCGGATAAACTATATATAAACGTAGACAAAGTATATTTTAATAAGAAAAAGGTTATGAATATATTTTATACACTTATTTAAGCTACGGTACAAATTTTCAGAGATGAAAACGTCATACTAGTATAGCTGGAGTAAAATTACTGTTCAATTGCACAAAAAATCTAAACATCGCTGAAACAACCGCTTACATTTTTTAGAAATATGAACACACAATGTAAAAGAGCACATCGGGGAGGCGTTTTTTCAGACTATTGTCCTATGATTATTCGCTATCCATTTGTGGAAGTTTATTTACAGAGAATTACGAGTTAAAATTTTAATATTGTGTAGAAATTGCTGACTGTCCTTTTACGAGAGAAGAATGCTTCATGCTGTTGGATTGAACGTTAACGATGTGATTTCAAGTATTACCTTGTAATAAATTACTTGATAATAAAAGTGTTCGTCATTGCAAAGGAACGGAAAAAAAGGCAAAAGAATATACAATAGTACCATCCTGTTAAAGATTCTATTTTTTGAAAAAAATGAGAAAAAAATTTATATTCTTACTGGTGGAAGATGGTTTGCTGTTTCTGCTGTTACTCTATCAACGTCCATATTTGAAATAAAAAAAAAGAAGAAAAAGAATGTATAAGGCAGCTAACTATATTAGAACCAGAAATAATAGTAGATAAGAGGAAAGAATAGTATTACGGAATTTTTTAAGAGGTTTTTTTAAATATTTCTGAAGAAAAATAAGTTGCTGATGAATAATCAGGTAACAACACATTCATACATGTCTACACCAGCTTTGATAAAGACCAAATCTTTGATGTTTATCATACAATAAAGTAAATATTGTTTATTTAGACTTTACAACACACAATAACTGATACAAATGATGAAATCAAACAATTACGACAAAAAATAATGGATCTAGAACAAGAATCAAGGACAAAAGTAACATGTACGTCAGAGTATTGAATGTCAAAGTAGGAGTATTTTCCCAAAACATTTTTTAAGGTTATTTCTAATCAAGCAAAAAAATCTAAAATACAAAGTGGCTTAGATTTTTTAGCTTTTACTAGACTGTAAATCTTATTTGTCGATATTTAGATGAAGTCACTAGTGATTCGAATAGTTTACGATCAGAAATTCAAGACAAAGAACATGTAATGCTCTTCTAGTTTTATTTTTTAGCAGTAAAAATACATTAAAAATTTAATGCTTTATATAGGAAATAAATGCATTGAAAAGAAAGCTTGACGATAATGCAAGTGAAATTACAAGACTTCGACAAACAACAGTTTATCGTGCTGAACCAGCGCGAGTGCAAGGTAAAAATACGATGCCTATAATTCGACATTCAAGTAAAGATTTTTTTTCGAGTTATTTATACATAATTGGATAGAGCTCGTCGAGCTGATTCAGAAAATATATGTTTTAATGCTTGAAAAAAAATTTTCATGTCGACAAATTGAAAACACTTGAAGAGTCTAAGTTTTCGAAAAACGTTTCCGTTTCAAGAAAACTCAAATGTTTTTCTTTTTCGCTCTTCCAATATTTTAAAAGTGATCTTTTCGGATACAGCATTAAGAACTAAGTATGAATCTGATATTTGATCCAGGTTGAAATCAAAGGTCTATCCAGTATGGACATCTTGGATTCTTCCTCTAACAAATTCATAAACAATTTTACAAACTTGTCTAGTTTCTGTTCATGAAGAGATGAAGTCGATATTTGTAGTCAAAATATTGTAATTTGCTTATTATATGCCATCTTTTCAGACATAACTGCAGTATTTTGAAAACAATAAAACTTACTTGAAAATTGATTAATTAATGTTTCATTCTCCTCAAGACACATTTGTAACTCATATAATAATTCTTCACGTGTTAAATTAGTATAACGTGGAGAAAGTGCCCCTGCTAGATAATATAAGAATAGACAAATTAGTTTATAATTTATAAACTTGGTTAGTAAGTTCATCTATAATATCAGTTATTTTTTCAGCGTTGTTCAGTTGTTTATTATTAACAGTCAAGAAATGAGCAAAGATATTTCAGATATTCAAAACTTGAGATGCTCAGAAAGTCAAAAACTCAGATAACCCAAAAGTGCCCGTCAAC